AAAAAAAAAAAAAAAAAAAAAACCCACAAAAAAAAAAAACAAAAACCAAAAAGGGGGGGGGGGGGGGGCAAGGTCAGTCACCCCACAAGCCACATCCACTGGTGCAAGCCCCCATCCAGCCCCCAGGCCTTCTGGCACAGCCAGGATTTCACCCCTTTCCTGAAGGCCATGAGAGTGGGGGCACACTGAACCTCGGGAGGCAGATTGTTCCATAGGGTGGGGGCCACAGCAGAAAAGACCCTCTGCCTAGATCCCACCAGTCGAAATTCCTTGACCAGTGGGGTCTGCAACATGCCCCACTGAAATTTTCATACCATAATTTTGAAAAATAGATGTTACATGCTAAGGGGGTCTGAGTAGGATTTGTTTCTTGATGTGGTTTAAGTCACAATTGATTAGTTTCATGCACTGCATGAAAAGTGTACGCCAACCCTACATGTTGCTTTAATTCAAACCCACTTAGTTGCGGTGATGATCCGTGTTGGTATTAAACAGGAACTTTGCACAGAGTTCTATTTCTTGCAGTGCTGTAATTCAAGTGGGATGAGTAGGGCAAGCAAACTTTTAAAGAGGAGATTCCTCCCCTAGCAAGAAACATATGAGGCAGAGGGAACAAACTTGTGATGATGAGGAAAAGTACTCACTGTACTGTATAGGATTTGCTGAGAGCCACGAACAACATTCTTATTTTAAGGAGCTAAGCGTCACTTGCATGGCTAGCTGATAGCAACTGGCGGGTCAAAGATGCACTGTATCTTAGTAGATGAGGGAGTTCTTTATAAAGAGTCCCTTAAATAGACAGTTTTTCTGGAAGAGCAGCTATCTATCGATGCTTCGCCTTGATCTTTCGCAAGTGATGGTTGTCCTCGTGGGATATTCCTCAGCCAAACTGGTTATTAGAGATGGGAATTTTCCCACCTTATCTTCTGGTTGCTTGAGTATGCTGCTAGTTCATCCCAGTTCACATAGGATGTCTGGTCTAGGATGTTTCCACACCAATGATAACAGAAATGAATTTTTTTGAGGGGAAGAAATTGAAACTGATTGCTGTACTTAGTGCCACGACAGAGTGTCAGACTATAATGATCCCAATCTTTTCGGCTCCTTGGGCTTCATGCTTGCATATTCGTAGGCACTCCGCACTTCAGATCTTGCTAAAGGGTTTAATGTGCTGCATCTCGTATTCATAGTTAATCGGTGTAACTGAATTCAGTTTTATCTGCGCCTAAGAAATAGTTAACAGTAAATGAGGCAAGACCAGGCAGCTGTTGTCCTTATGCTGCCTTTGCTCCTTGACAGATCTTTCCAGACGGTACATCTGCCAGCTGGTTTGGGTTTTTTTGATTGGCTTCTCTCTCTGTATCTCGGTGGGTCCAAAGCCAGCAGCTTAAGCAAAATGTTTAGAATAATTAGATTCTTTAGCTCATCTGAAAGAAGGGAAAGCTTGGCAGAGCAGAATCTTCCCTATCTATTCCACGACTTCTAGATTTTAAAAATACTACTCAGCATTTGGTTTAAGGGAATTAAATTACAATTAATTAACATTAATTGCATCCTGCAATTTTCATCATAGCACTCCAGCTTTTTCTTTTTCTTTTAATGCATGCAGCATGGTTTAAAAAGAGGCCCTTTCTTAAGCCTTTGCAAGTCTAGTATCTTACTTATTTTGATTTGATTTGAGGCCACCGGACTCCAAATGACTTTGGGTGGCTCACCATACACCAAAGCAATATAAAAACAATTAGCAAAAGCAAACAACAACAAAATCAGACGCAAAGAAAAGGAAGAAGAGCAAATGGCGAAGCCAGCAAACCCCAAAACATCTCACCAGCAACTGACCTCCAACAAAGGGGCACCAACCACCTTAGCCTAAGTCCTGGGAGAATAGCCAGGTCTTCATGGCTCTTTGGAACACCAAAGGGAGGGAGCCGTCTGGATCTCGGGGAACCTCGTTCCAGAGGGCTGGCACTGTGACAGAGAAGACAGCAGAGAATTTATAATAATTGTAGCATTTCTTCTGTCTTGTGTTCACCTACATGTGAAAAACATGGGGTTTTTAGTATTTTTTCCACTCAGTATTGCAAAAGGCATTTCTGAAGTTCCTTTGTTTCTTAAAGGGCTTCTGAACTTTCATATATTAAAAGATTTTCATTTTTTAATTGATGTGACCGTATTATAAAGAGAATGGATCTAAGGATTTCTTTACTAAAGAGATCAGCTTTTAGTTTGTTAAACTTGGAACCTTTGGGAAAGTTCCTTGAGGCCCCTATAGCTTTATCTACTATATATGGATCCCTTTCGGTCAGGTTTCAGAGCCAGGTATAGTACTGAGATTGCATTGATAGTGCTTGCGGGTGATCTCTGGCAGGACCAGCATGGCCCTCCTTGATCTCTCAGCAGCTTGTAGTACAACTGATCATGGTATCCTTTTGGACTCGGTCATAGGGTTAGCAGTGGTACTCCTCTCGGAGTTGGTTCTGTTCAGTGTTGGTGGGGGGGAAGAAGTCTAGCTCTAAACCCCTGCTCTAACGCAGTGTTTTTCAACCTTGGCATCTTGAAGACATGTGGACTTCAACTCCCAGAATTCCCCAGCCAGCCAGGGAATTCTGAGAGTTGAAGTCCACAGGTCTTTAAGTTGCCAGGGTTGAGAAACACTGCTCTCTAACCTCTCCCCATTTCTGTTTAACATCTACATAAAACCACTGGGTGAGGTCATCCAATGGCACAGGGTCAGGTATTAGTATGCTGATGATACTCAGCTTCATATCTCAATCCTTGGCTAACCTTCAAAGTTCCTTCTCAGTGTCTGGAGGCTGTGGTGGCCTGGATGGGGAAATACAGGCTTAGGCTCAACCCTAGCAAGATCAAGTATCTGTAGATTTTAGGACTCCCAGATTTGGAGATTTTTCCATCATTGGCTCTGGATGGGGTTGCACTGCCTCAGATGGAACTGGTGCACAATTTGGGGGTCTTCCATGTCTCCTGGCTCCCACTTGAAGAGCAGGTGACAGCTGTTGCTAGAATAGGCCTTTGCATAGTTACACCTTGGGCACCAACTGTGCCCATTTCTTGATCAGGAGGCCCTGCTGATGGTCACTCATGCCTTGGTCACCTTCCATTTAGATTATTGCAGTGTGACCTACAAGGGTCTGCCCAAAAAGACCCTCAGAAATGGCAGCTAGCCATCAAGTGACAGCATGAATACTTATGGATTCATCTCAGTATGCCCAAGTATATTCTGCCTTAAAACCTTTTGAGATATGTTCTACGTTTGGAGAAAATCAGTACTTTTAACAGCATTTACTGCTTTTAACTTCAGTATGAATTAATTGACTTTTTCTCCTCTTCTTTTTGGGTCCAGGCAGAGACCAGGATGGATTCCTCGACTTCTGGAGTACGTAATTATGTTATGTTTTCGTACCTGCTCTTGATTAAAAGCCGGATCTGCCCATAACAGCATGATATTTCTTGCGAAGGCTGTGATATATATTCCTTGTAATATGTGTCACTTCATGTCATGCCCTTGTTCCCCTGATACCCCATTTGTCATATTCCTTCTGATAGGATTGCCTGTAATGACAGACAGATCTTCCAGGCAGCGTTGTTGCATGCTCTCATGTTGTCCCAACTCTGTAGGACAGTGTTTCTCAACCTGGGCAGCTTGAAGATGTGTGGACTTCAACTCCCAGAATTCTGGGAGTTGAAGTCCACACATCTTCAAGCTGCCCAGGCTGAGGAACACTGCTAACACTGAATTGACAAAAAGAGCTGTTTCTGATGTCTCCCATGCAGCTTGAAGATGTGTGGACTTCAACTCCCAGAATTCTGGGAGTTGAAGTCCACACATCTTCAAGCTGCCCAGGCTGAGGAACACTGCTCTAGGGACTTGCTGAAATTGGAATGGGGAAAAAAGAAAGGAAGTCTTCTTTTCATTGCTGGGATCTTTGTTAACACTGAATTGACAAAAAGAGCTGTTTCTGATGTCTCCCATCAGTGTCGTGCTAGATAGCAGATGTTTCGGATCTTATTCTGCAAAGTCTAGAATCAGATTCCAAATTCCCTGAGAAGAATTTGCCATTGTCATCTTGTCACTGTATTGTTTAAAAGTTTATTACACTCAAATTCTTTTGGCAATCCTTAACATGCATTTTTTGCTCCTTCTAGCATAAATCCATATAAATCCATTCAGAAGAGCTCTTACTCTCCCCCGGACGGTTATTCAAAGGACTATGAAGATGGCAACAGGTGAGAAGGTTCTTATTCCCTTCAATACTTACTTCAGTTATAACCTGAAGTAACAGCGCAAGTCAGATAATAACAGATCGAACCGAATGATCATTACCAAATGATAATTTATCCTGTATGCCTGAAACAATGCAGTCTTATGCCTTCTTTGACATAAAGCCAGTTCTCGTCACTTGTGCAGCTAAAGATGTTTTTTCCCTCTTGTGCCAGTTTCAATAAAAGTAAGGTCCTGTATATGTGGTGCCCAGTGTTAAATATACAAGATGGTTTCTTATGTCCTTTACTTAGATTTGCAACAGCTTTGAACTGCAGAGAGCAGAGTTCAAGACAAAGCACATACATTGCAGGCAGAGGATCAGTACAGATAGACTTCACTTAATGACTGCCCTGTTTAGTGACTGTTTGAAATTATGACGGCGTTGAAAAAGTAAATTTATGACCAGTCTTCACATTTACAACTGTTGCAACATCCCCACAGTCATGTGATTGACATTTGAGCACTTCGCAACCAGCGGGCATTTACGACCCTCACAGCATTCCACGGTCACGTGATCGCCATTTGCACAATTCGCAACTGGCTTCCAACAAGCAGAGTCAATGGAGAAGCTGACAGTAGAATCAGAAGTCACAGTCACATGATGTCTTGCTTAATGACCTGCAGTAATTCACTTAACAAGCGCAGCAGAAGTGACATAAGTCCTGTGCGGTCATGTGATGTTTCACTTAATCATATCACTTAGTGACGGAGTTGCAGGTCCCAACTGTGGTTATTAAGCGAGGACTATCTGTAATTCAGTTTTTAACATTTATAGTTAAAAAGGGTCAGATATTTGATGTCATATCATTCTGCTTTACACACTAGTACATTTCCAATTGGAAACACACACCCTTGCAATTTTCAGCTTAGGCGGTAGGGTTCAAGGTTTACTCTAGTTCAGATTTCAAACTATTATAATTTCTGTAATAACAGTCAGCTACTCACCTTGCCGTACCCTTGTCTGCCAAGTTCCATTTTCCCTAAATGGCTCATAACTTGCATGGGAAGAATGAGGGCTGCGGTATTTTGTTGAAGTTTTGTTTAAGCAGGAGATAAATTTGTTCTTGTGTGTTTTTGGTTTGAAGCTTTGAAGAGCTCTTTGGGCAGCAGTATCATCCATCAACAGAGAGTGAAGATAATTATGAGAGATATCAATACTCCCAGAAAGGTAAGAGTTACTTGAAATAAAGCTGCAGTAGGAATCCCCTCACTCCCAGAAATGCCTTTCACTTCAGTTTTGCATTTCAGTCCAGCTGGCAGCTGAAGAAATACCAAAAATATTTATTTCCAAGCAAAAATCACAACAGCGTTTTCTTTAGTAAGATTTATTGAAACGAAAGGGGTAGAGCTACAAAAATTTCAGCAACTGAACTATTTCCATTTAGAACCAATTTATCCCTAATACAGCCTTCCAACAGGGAGATTAGTCTTTTCACGGATGACAAGGAAGCTTAAAGCTGGCTGTTAACTGTCTTTGTCAACATGGGAACTTGCCGCTGAAGTTGTTCAGCCAAGACACCTGTAATCCAGCCCTGAATTCTGCCCATATGCTGAATTTGCCATATCTAACTGAAGAAGGAGCCTTTGCCTTAAGCTTCACTGCTGCTTTGACACTAGCATTTTTTATTTTATTTTATTTTATTTTATTTCCCTCAACATATCTCATTATATCTTTAGAGGACGGCTACACCAAGGATGTTCATCGCGATAAGTTGTACTTGCAGTTTTACCAGCAGATAGAGAAGGAATATAACAGAGACAGACCTTCAGACTGCGTCATCGTTTCCATCAGCAAGGATCAAGCGTAGGTCTTTCTTTTTTTTTTTTTAAGATGCGCTTACTGATGCTTACCGAACCTTGAACGAATGGTTCCATGTTTAATTTCACTTTTAGCAGACGGTTAGCTCTTTTTAGAGATCTCACTTTCTGATTTTGTTCCTGAAGTGATAGAAAACAGCAATGGTGCTACGTGTCTGCACTGCATGACTGAGCAGCAGAACTGCATGTCTAAATGTAGCACCATCATTTGCATGGAGAAAAGGACAGAATGATAGGAAAGGGACAGAGTGCATTCTGCCCCCCCCGGCCACATTTTTCTCATAAACAGATTCATGGTATTAGAACCGTCCCAGAATAAGTCTCTTGAGAGTGGAATAAAAATTAAAATAGCAGGAAAAGGGGCTCAATACCCGCTACTCACACCCGCTTCAGACCCTTTATACTCCATCTTTGGCTCCTGCTTCCCATGAATGGGACTAATCTGCAATAAAATATTTTGGTTTCCCCCTGTCCCTTGTAGCTTGGTCCTCGTTCCTGTTGCATTTGGTAGGACTACGACTTAACTAGTGTAGTTGTAGCTCTTGCAGTATTGTAACAAGTTTAATACTGACTCCTATATGTACGTTTTACTTAATAGGGAGATCTCTTTAAAAGGGACATGGTAAATATTTATGATAGTAGCTTCAGATTTTACCACTCAGCTGCAGTTCTCATGCACATCTACGTCCATTTAAAGTAAGATTCGTCTCTCCTTTTTGCCTATGAAATATTATAGATGCCTGTATGGATGGGTGATCATTTGACATTTTTAAAAACCGTATTTAATGTGGCCCCTTATCCTTCGTTGCCCAAATATAACTTAAATATCAACGTAATGTAGTGTGGGTAAGCTTTTTTTTAGGTGAGAATTTGTCACTAAATGAAGCCAGCTGAAAAAGCGTCATCTAGATTTCAGGCTATGGATATCTGTAATAATTAGCAATTTGGGGGTTCTGAGATTTTTCCATCCATGAGGTGTCATCACTTCCACATTCCTCTCAGTCAACTTTGAATGCCATAAATTTCACTGCAGGTCATAAATTCCACATTTCGTCTTGCTGCTTAAAATAACGTTTATTTCTCTTATGCAATTCCTGAAACAAATCCATCTTTGCAGATTTTCACACAAAACGCTTAGCGTCTTTAATGGGATTTTCCTCTGAGGAATTTCTTTTTCCTTGAAGATTTTCTAATTTAAAAACACTTGTCAGCTCTACCTTGGCTTAGCTTGGAACTTTTGAGAGTTCCACATGCTTTGATTAGGTTTTTCTCACCTGGTCATTCCCCTCTGATTCTTGTAGTATCACTGTTAACCAGGACGTCTGTCTTTATTCCCTTTAAATATTCCCTTTAAAAGGTATTCTCCGGTCCTCCCCGTAACACCAAGCACATTATCAGCAATAAAAACAGTTACAGTCTCTATTCAAGTATCATTGTTGTACGTCTTTGCTAAATTAATTGTCACTGTAATTTTGATGGATCATTCTCATCGAGTGTAGCGTACTGTGGCTTAGTGATGGGACTGCTTACATTTTACCTTGATACCACATTGCTAAAATGATATCTGGAGCCTGATTTATTTATTTTTTTAGTGAAATATTTCCGTTATCTCTTCCAGTTTCCCATCCAGTCAAGGTGGGAAGGTCAGGTATATTTCTGCCTTTCATCTGTTTGCCCTTGTCATAGCAACCTGCTAGATAAACTGGAGGCGTTGATCATTCATCTCATGCTAGACGTTTTCGTGCAGTCTTCAGAGCCCTGAACCTTTGGCCACCTTTCTTTCTGGTTCTGTGACCACCACCCCTAAATATTTGTCCATAATATTAGTCTCATGGGTTCATATCTTTAGAGGCAGATGAGATTTTAATGCAAATCTTTAAAATATTCTTATATTCTAGAATAAATTTTGAGAATAAATCTTTGGGTTTGGTAAAAGACTTCAACTTATTGAACACAATGTGGAGTACTTTGTATATTGCAGTAATTACGTCATTATTATTCCTGAAGGGCCTATTAAAACATGGCATACAAAATTGCTATGAAACCTAGCCTAACCATGGTAAAATTGCCAATTCCTTGAGGTTGTTGACTGCCGTTCCATGTCATCTAATTAGATAATTTGGGGCATCCATGCCCATATAATTTTCTATAAAGTAAAATTGCAGCCTCAGAATCGAGTTCCTGTCCAGAAATAGCATGGAATGACCCATAATAGAAGCCTAGTTGAATTACGCAATTCTGTAAAAGTGCCAGTACGTTAAAAATAATATGTAAAATCATAATAAGGTGTTCATTTTTAAAAATTGCTTTGCAGTGTAATATTTTCTGCTTCATATCTGTTTACTTTTAAACAAATCTGTTTTAAATCTGAAGAAAAAAGACTTGTATTTGGCTATTCCTTGAGAGTCCTAATTGCCATTATTAAATAACTTTCCACATGCGCAATTCTAGAGATCACGTTACATGCAACAGTCTCACTTAAGTATGTTAACCAAATATTCACAAGCGCTAAACTGTTTCTCGCTGATACACACCTGAGGGTCCCTTGCAATTATCATTGAAATGGAAGCAACTCAAAATATTCTATATCTTTATGCAATTCAATTACTGCAAAGTGCTTGCAAGGCTAAGTCCATGTAGCCCCAGTCCAGAATCCCACAGAGCTTGACTTATGTGGAGCATTTATATAAACACGGACTTCACCAGTCAGTTTGGCATTGTGGAAAAATCTGTGTTTCCCACTAAGGAAGCTCAGCCAAAAACCCCTTACCCCACAATAAGTAAATATAGATGTATAGGCCTGCTTTTCTCAATCTGCCACTCTCCAGATCTATTGAAGTCACAGCCACTAGAATCCCCAATCAGCATGGCCAGTGATCAGCTCTGAGAGTCATATCTGGAGGTTACCAGATTGATGAACATCACTGTATGCAGAAGTCAAAACCTAAAATTATAAAAACTACAACGCTGTATGACCCAACCAACCCTCCTCTTTTGCTAAAAATTTAACCTTCCCTTTTCTGTAAGCCCTACAGTTGGGAAATGTCTGGCTCGCATTGAGCTTCTTCTCTGTATACTTGGATGGTCTATGACTGCTTAAACCTACATTTCATAAAACAAGACCCCTTTTCAGGTGGCTCAGCGGAATTCCAAAGGCACACTGTTAATATATCTCATTGAGTATTTTTGAGTTTTCTTCTTGCACACAAAATGACCGTGACTAGGACACCGGCACTAATATATATTTTTTGAATTACTTGTAAAATAACCTGCTTCTTTGTTTTTTGTTTTTTCCTTCAAGGGAATATTCAACAGCCATAGGCCATCGGTTGCAGGATCATGGCCTTGTGGTGGAAATGATATACCTTACTTCTGAATCAGGTCTTACACGTGCCCTCCAAGAAGTTAAAAATGATGGTTCCCCATTTTGTGTTCTTGTTGAACCATCTAATGTAGCACTTTCCTCATGCACCGTAATCATGCTTCATCAGACTATCAAAAGTAAGTTTAGCTTCATTAAGAACTGATCCCCATTCAGAAAATGCTCTTTAGATCCATTCCTCAACATGCATCATATTAAAACGCATCAAAACTAACCTCTTCAAGACATGGCTGAATATGCCGAATGAAGAGAAGTAAAATATATTTACATTTATTAAGAACTCATAGTTGTAAATCACTTCCACACCTAGCAAAATGTATTTCATCCAAAATTGATCTTCTCTGAACCAATAAAACAGACTGTGGTAGTAGGTATTTTTCCTGGATTTAAAAAGAACATTACAATTTCAGTCATTTCTTAACTCTGTTCCTCTTTTCAGATGTGGCTTTATAAAACTATTCCCAATATGAAATTAATTCAACACACAAAGAGGCACATTACTGAAACACCCATTACACTTAATAGAAATGAACATGTTGGTGTTGAATCATGGGCGTACAACATTCAATTAAAAGTTCAAAGAAATTGATACTGAGTCAAAAGTTAGCTTTTGGCTTCCCAATCAGAATGGTACAAGGACACAGCAGTTTTGTGTTTGGTTTTGTCTGGATGTAACTTTTTAAAAAGCAAGGTGTCTCTCTTCTCCGTAGTACACCGTAATATGCCCATGGAGGATGCCCTGGCTCTGATAGCTAAAGAGTTTGAGAAAATTTTTGCTGAGCATGAACAACAGCAGCGCACAGAGATTTCCCACAGAGCAGCTGATCTGGCGGATGACTACCTAGAGCGACAGCTCTATGAGAGTTACCATGTGCCTCTAGGCATTAGACACCTCCTCTTTCTGTTAAGTGAGGGAAAACATTTATATGTGGAAGAATTGAACTCAATAAGTGACTACCTGAAGACCAGGAGAAATAAGCTTGAAGGTATTCATGTTTTCCCCATCTCTTCCTCAACATAGCTTCTAAATGCCACCCACAAGTTCAAAACAACCTCTTGGGTACATTCGGTGTAAAAATCAGAAAATACCCAGTGTGAAAGTTAATGCACCGCCCTCCCCCAGACCTGAAAAATCACACTTCATGCATGAATGCAGACGTTTCTTAAAATGAGACTTCATTGAGAAGGGCTGTTCCGTGCGCTTCCAGCTTTGTAACCCACTATCTGTGGGTAATGCTTCTTCCTCTAGGACATGGGGTGGTGATGTCAGATGGATCTACAGGGGTGTCTGTATTTCACTCTAGATATATGTACACAGCTCATCCTTATCCCAAATTCCTTATTATTTGTCTTTTCTTTACCTTTTCAAATCATTTTCTTCCTTGTGAGGAGGGAGCCTGTCATCCCTGTGCATAGGGCAGAGGGGAGAAATGCCATTATTGCATGGGATATAATGCTCTTCATGATAAAAGGGCAAAAATATTGTCCGCCAGCGGTGGCTCTGGGAAGGAAAGCCTCTTCCCACTTTGGGGGACCACGAAGCACCCTGTTGACAAGCCCCACTCGCGGCCCCAAATGTTGCTTTTGTCCTGCTGTCATAATAAAGAGTAACCACTCCCCTTGTTCACTGTACTGTCATCTGATAACAGTCGCATTTCGCATGGCAAAAGCCCATTACGATGTATAATTAGGAGAAGTGAAAATTTTAACGCTCGCGAAAAAGCAGGCCCCCAACCACTTTATATTATAAAAACCCAAAACCTGCCAACTTACGACTTCAAATCCATTCTCTGACCGCTATAAATGACTTTCCCACATCCTTAAAATTTCCTAAATATTTCCCTGCACAAACGAACAGGCAGAGGAAGAAAGGGTGTTACGAGAAGCAGCGAGGCTGCCTTCTTTGCTGTCAGTACGTTGAGTGTTTTGCTAATCGGTTCTGTTTCCTTGCTAACTTTGGGTTCTGCTCATCCAGGCTTTGTTGCAGAAACCAATGCTTTAGCGGCTGCGGGTGAAGATGCTGTGTATCCAAGCGTCAGGCCAAGTAGTAGCACTCTCCCCCAGACGCTGAGCAAACCACCACCACTCCTACCGACCCCTGGCCGAACTCCCGTATTAGGCCAGTCTGCTGTACCTTCACCTAAACCAGCTTTGTTGGGTGAAAGACCGTTGGGGGCCCTTCTTCCCACTCCAGGTTGGTAAAGGTTATTTTGATTGATATCAAAGCAGGGGAAAGTACACATGTGAATAGTTAATCAGAAGTCAAGAAGAGACCAAAGCTTTGGACCAGCCATACATGTCTCTATACATTAGGGCCTGAGTTAAGAATCCCCGGGTTACAGACCCATAGTTAAGAATGGAGCCCGTTGTAGCAAAATCCGAGTTAAATACCCAATGGTTCAAGTTCATTACACAATACTACTTGTACAGTATTCTATAATAATGCTGTTCCAGCTTACATACAAATTCGACTGAAGGACAGACCTTGGGAACGGAACTCATTCTTAAACTGGGTGCTACCTGTAGTCGCAAAGTGAAATGACATACTTAATATTTAAGGTAAGGTCCACGCTGGAAGATTGTTTACTTTTATTGATATATTCTAGTTTATTCTTGTCTAGATATTTAGATAACCTGTTCCAGGCTAACTAAATCAAAGAGTGTAGTCAAACAGGCCAAGGTCAGGAATATATTGAGATATTTACGATAGAAGGAATACTGTCAAGATCAAGTTCAGAGTTCAAAATAGGATTTAATTTGCTGTTAAATTCAGAGGATTTAGTTTTAGCACGTAGTCAAAAGACCAGCCAAAGTTTAGAAGTCCAGTTGAATGAGGTGAGTCAGAGTCCTTAGCACAGAGGGGCAAAGTTAGAACAGGCATTTTTCCACCCTTGGGTAGATTGAACTGGGAGCTTTTACACTAGAGGTCTTGATTCTTCAACCTAGCTAGCATGGGTTAGTCAATCAAAATACAGGGCTACCCCAGGTAATAGCAGTTGTGATCTCAGAAGGTGGTTCATGGGAAGTCTTGTTTGATGCCACAGCTGTAATATCCTTAAGGATTTCACTTATCCAACGTGGTTTAACATATTTATGAAATCGCTAGGAGAGGTCTTCTAGAGCTTCAGTGTTGCCAGTATCTTGATAGCATTCAGCTAAACACAAGGATTCCCAATCAGTAATGGGTTGGTTGAGAACAAACCAATTGAAATTTGATCTCGGCAGATGTATTCCTAGTCAATCAAATGACTGATTAAGAAATAGAGATTTTACTTGTACTGGATGGAGTTACAGTGGTCTTAAGACTCAGGTCTCGGGGCGTGTTCTCGATTCCACTTGGATGTGTATAGATTTCAAATGACCAGAACTGCACTTAATTATGTAAAGTTAACATGGAAGTATTATGCAACCAAAGGACACACCTTTGTTTATTTGGGTCAGAGCCCTTAACCAGCTCTAAATGGGGCTGAAGTACTCTGGCCACTTCTGTTGATGTGGAATGCTTCAGCCAAACTACTGTCTGCAGCTGCTTGTAAGGAGTGTGTGAGTCCTGCATTACAGTGGTTTCACACAAGGGGTCTTAGAATCCAAAAGAAGGGAAGTAGGTTAGCGCCATCTTTGATGTCCTTCTCCCTTTAAGGTGACTTGGTGGTTTCTTTTATATATATTTTATTGAACATTACAATTAAAAAAATAAGGACCAATACAAACTAAAACAAATAAAAGAATAAAAAGAAAAAATAGAAAGTGCAGAAAAGAAGAAATAAGAATATAGGAAAGGAAAGGAAAAAAGATATAAAAAGAAATGACGTCTCCCTTCATAACAAGTAGAAACAATTTTAGTAACTTATCACCATCTCTTAAAGTACAACAAAGGATCTCTTCTTCCCATAGCTCATCTCTTGTCAGTAAACAAATCTCTGAAGCCTGGTTTTTCAGACCTGGTCAGCAAAAGTCCATTATCAGGGTTATCAGAGATAACAACAAGGTGACTTGGTGGCTTCATAAAACATGTTGTAACAGGTGGATGCTGCTGTTCTGTTTGGAAAGTGTGTTTTCCCTACCTTTTGGGTATAACTTTGCATTGCATCTTGTATGTTGATACTGCCAGCTATCATATACCCAAAACTCTGTTTCTGTTCTCTCTTTACAGCATCGTTGGCTGGCCCAAAGGGCAAGCCTCCGCCCCTTCTTATAAAGACTGTCAAAAGACCAATCCACCTAGCTCCGTCTCCACATCTGCCCGCAAAGCGGCCGTTGCTTGGGGGCAGACCTGGCCTGCTGCCTACACCAGGTGAGAGATGAGCACCTCTGGGTGGTGCTTCATGCCTAAGTCTGAAGGCAGTTGGTTTTGTTCTTTTAATGGCCGTTTCACCAATTTGTTTCAGTCTGGGGCTGTGCAGTAACACGGACAGCAGGCCGGGCCTGGATTCAAATGTCCATCACTTGACTAGGAAGGATTTTGAACGCCAACTGGTTTTGAACTAATCATAACATAGCGTAAAAAAATAAACCCCCTTCCCTAAAAACAGTCTACAAAACCTTTATCCTCCAAATGTTTTTGAATGCATCGTAGCCCAACTCATGGTAGTTTTTGCCTCCTTTTCTCTCCCCCCTCCCCCCCAAAATAAACACTGATCTTGGTCTCCTCTGCTCTGTGACATGTCTCTGGAGATATCCCCACTGTTTTCTTTTCTTTGCAAAGCCTCTATCAAACATCATTTAAAGTTTGCTGTATCTATGATGTTTTGGCCCTGACCTGATGCACATTATTCAGTCTTCAGGGGCTTCTGTGTTTCTGAACTTTCTCTCAAGTCATTGCAAGGTTCTGAACTTCAGACCTTTCTTTGTAACAACTAACTAAGGGAAGCTTCAGTTACAAGCCAGACTAGAGTGCTTTTCTGATACCTATACCAAGAGATAACAGATATATAGATGTTTTTTAGCAGCTCCTGTTTCAGACGAAGTAATACAGGAGAGAATTGTGGATGTTGGTCAGGGTTCTATGTTGACGTGTTACCAAGAGCTTGGCAGTATATCTGAAAAGGTTTAAAAGCAGGGAATTTGTTCAGGTGTAACGTGGTAGCAAATGTGTTGATTTTAAGCCTTCCTTATCAGACTTCCCAGGTGTGACTGTCTTCAACTCTGTGGCTGGATTCACACCTCACATTCAGTCATGGTTGGTTGAATAAGCCTTCATGGCTGGGTTCACCATCATGCTGAGCAATAAGCTCGGCTGGATTCAAACAGTAGATCCCCTTGTGGCTTAGCTAGTACGTGAGCCTAGTTAGCGCATATACTTTTCCCATCTTTGTATCTTGCCAGTTGAAATGAGACTGGAAGAAAGCCCACTGGGTTCCCAGCCCTCATACCCCACCCAAGAGGAAAGGAAGACGTATGGGCTATAAGAAAAGCATGGATGTAGAAAGGGAAGAGCTGTTTTATCCTAGCTACAATGTTCTGGACTGCAGTAGTTAGCTGAAAAATGTTTTTTTTCCCCCTCATCTCTTGATGAGTGTTGGTCCTTTCAAAGTAACTTAACAGCACCATCCCCTAAAGCCAGCCAGTTCCCATTTGGAGGACCTCGTGAGTTAAAAAATGGGGAAAGGTAGCCATCTTGCTTCACTTCCTGTTCTTCTTTTCACAGCTGCTCAGTCAAGATCCGCCCAGCATCACTGGGTTCCTAAACCGAAGTTCCTGACTTGAGAGAACGCCTGAACTAATAATGAAATAAATAAATAGTTGTCCTAGATGGCTGCAGTTCTCTTCTAAGATAAGCAGAGTTTGACAAATGTATGTTACCACTCCTGGCAACTTTAAATGCGTACCATTTTCTGTTGTACACATTCCTGAGAACAACTTTTTTTTTTTTTTTTTTTTTTTACTTAAACACAACATAGATGTTTGTAGAGGATGGATATTGTAGATTCCCTATATTAACTTGTTTTAAAATCAATATTGTCCAAAATAAATGACTTATTTCCACAGGTTCCCATTTGATTTCTTTGTGATTCACACTCCACTTAAGTAATGATTATTGTTTAACCCGTCCCTCTATTGTAATGTTGTTTATTGGATAAACCAGAGTTGCCCAAGGACCACATGATAGACAGCCAAAGACATGAAATTATAATCTGTAAGATGACAGATGGAAAAAAAATAAATACATGATTGCAGAATAACCATAGTTAAGTATAAACCACAATACACCCAAGGCCAACCTTACACATTAAGCACTAAATAAGCAAACCCTGTGCATAATGCTATGCTTTGACCCTGTTCCTTGATGCACATTGCTTCTCACTTCAGGCCTATATTCTTTTGAATACTTCACAACTCCCCCAAACTGAATAGTCCAGTAATCCATCTCTGGGATTTGTACAGGAGAAAGACAAAAACTAATTTTTGCATTTTCTGACATGCTTAAATAAGATGCAGAAAGATGGAATAGCTCCTATCCAGAATTACCTTTAGTGATGCACTTCCCAAAATAATTTTAAATTCTACGATATCTTTATAGTACAGATTTAGGGCATACATTTTTGTCCCTTCATCAGCCAAATGCAACCAAGTAAGTACCTGCAGTTTGATCTCAACGCAGGCAATTTTAATCATCCAAGGAACTCTTTTGGTTGTCTTATCTGAGGCGGCATTTAACAAAACTCTTAAAAGCGTGTCGTGAAATATATCTAGGTTGATTTTCCAATATTCGGAGTAGCCTCCTGTGTTAAAAAGTGGGGCGATCCAAGTAAGTCTATTCCAAAGCCCAGAAGCCATTAAAATATGAAAAAGAGCCTGTCCCTGTCACATAAAAGAAGGTATAAAAATTGCACGAAAGAACAGCAGAACCATGAATCAAGCCACAATTCCAGTACCTGTTCTGGGATTTTCTGCATGTGGCATAACATTAAAGCGGTCTGTCTGGCATGAAAGAGAGACTCGTGCAATTGCTAATACCTGGAAGGAGTCTTTAAATAACTGTCCAACACTCCTCCCTTGAAAATAAATTGGCCATTCTCCTAGTGGGTTAGATTATGCCAGTGTTTCTCAACCTTGGCCGCTTTCAGATGGG